ACAGCTCAAATAATTGAGCAGGATATAGATGAGCTCATGCTAAAAAAGGCAAGGAAAGGGCTACTAACCACCAACCTTTCAACAAGAAGCCTGATCAAAGAGGAAAAAGGAAGGTGCCAAAAAGCAACAAACAGTAATGGTTCTTGCAAGAGGTGTGGTAAGAATCAGGGAGGAAAGGGATGTTATTGGCAGATTGGGCCATGTTTTAAGTGTGGGAAGACAGAGCACCTGATCAAGTACTGCCTAGTTCTTAAGGGAGCAAGTCAGTAGCCAAAGGATCAAGATAATAAGAAGCCAAGGGTTCAAGGAAGAGTTTTTGCCATCACAAAACAACAAGCTCAAAACACTCCTACAGTTATGAAAGGTAAAATACCTATCTCTTTTGGGAATACCCATGTATTGATTGACTCTGTATCTACCCACTCATTTGTGTCACCTAACTAGGTGCCATTTTTGCATGTGGAGCCTGAGACCCTTGATTGTGTGCTTATGGTGAATACTCATTCTAAAGAGGTTTAATATCAAAAACCATCTATAGATCTTATAGACTTATGGTAGAGGGTAGAGTTCTGCTTGTCGATCTGATTTTGTTAGGAATAATGGAATTTGGTGTCATACTTGGTATGGATTGGTTGTCTACCCATTATGCTATGGTTGATTGTTATGAAAAGGTGGTTACTTTTTTCGCTCCTAACTAGCCTATGATTCGGTTTGAAGGAGAAAAAGTTTGATCATTTTCATTACTTGTTTCTTGCATGCAAGCTGATAAAATGTTATAGTATGAATGTTATGGATATCTGTCATATGTTTTTGAATCTAAAGACAAATCAGTGTCTGTAGAAGGAATTCGAGTAGTGGAAGACTTCTTTAATGTTTTTCCCAAAGAGTTGCCTGGGTTACCTCCAAATAGGAAGATTGAATTTATTATAGACCTTGTGCCTGATACTTCACCAATATCCCAGCAATCTTATAGAATGGCCCCAGTGGAATTAATTAAATTGAAAAAGTAGTTGCAAGAGCTTCTTGATAAAGGGTTTGTCAGACTTAGTACTTCCCTTTGGGGTGCTCCAATTCTTTTTGTAAAGAAGAAAGATGGCTTACTTAGATTGTATATTGACTATAGATGGTTGAATCAAGTCACCATAAAAAACAAATACCCCTTACCAAGGATTGATGATTTGTTTGATCAGTTACAAGGGGTACCTATCTCTTCCAAAATTGATATTATATCGGGTTACTATCAGCTAAAGGTTAAATATGAAGATGTGATGAAGACTGCTTTTAGAAGTAGATATGGGCACTACGAGTTCCTGGTAATGCCATTTGGTTTAACCAATGCCTCTATAGCTTTTATGAATCTTATGAATAGAATCTTTCAACTATACTTGGATAAGTTTGTCATTGTCTTTATTGATGACATTCTTATCTTTCCTCCTGATGAAAAAAGCTAGGAGGAACATCTTGCCATTGTATTGCAGATTTTGAGAGAAAAGAAGTTGTATGCCAAGTTTGATAAGTGTGAATGTTGGCTGAATTAAATTAGTTTTCCAGGTCATATTGTTTCTAAATATGGCATATAAGTTGATCTTAATAAAGTGGAAGCAGTTGTGAAGTGGGAAAGGCTGATTAGTGTCATCGAAGTGCGGACCTTTCTTAGGCTAGCAAGATATTATAGAAGGTTTATGGAGGGATATTCAAAGATTTTCGGTTCGTTAACACAACTTACTCATAAGAATCAGAAGTTTGGATGGACAGATAAATGTGAGCAAAACTTCAAGAGTTGAAGAGCAGATTGGTCACAGCACCAATTCTTGCTATTCCCGACAATGGAGGAGACTTTGTGGTGTATACCAATGCTTCTCACAAAGGCTTGGGTTGTGTGCTTATGCGACATGGACGAGTGATAGTTTATGGGTCCAGACAGCTCAAGACACATGAGTGGAATTACCCTACACATGGTTTAAAACTTGCTGCCATAATTTTTGCACTTAAGTTGTGGAGGCACTATTTGTATGGAAAAGAGTTTGAGGTGCACAACGATCACCAAAGCTTGAAATATTTATTTTCACAAAAAGAGCTTAACTTGAGACAAAGAAGACGGATGGAGTATCTAAATGACTCTAGATGCAAAATTGTCTATCAACTTGGAAAGGGAAATGTGGTTACAGATGCACTTAGCAGAAAATCAACTAGCACCTTAGCAAGCTTAATGGTGATGGAGTGGAAACTCCTAGCAGAATTCAAGGATTTGAATGTCAGATTTTCGCCACCAAAGTCTGATGTACTAGTATCTAATTTAATGGTTCAACCTACACTGTTGTCAAATATCAAAGAAGCACAACAGAAAGATTCAAGATTGATGAAATGGATAAAGGATAGTGGAAAAAGCTGCAAAATGGTTTTTCATATTTCGGATGATGGAATCATAAGACTTGGAGATAGAATTTGTGTTCCATAGGTTGAGGGGTTGAGGATGGAATTGCTCCAAAAAGCACACAAGTCCAATTATACCAATCATCTTGGGAGCACCAGCATGTATCATGACTTGAAAGAAACATTCTGATGGAAAAGCATGAAGAAGGATGTGGCTAAATATGTATCCAAGTGCTTGACTTGTCAAATGGTAAAAGTAGAGCACCAGAAGCCAAGATGGCAAGTTCAACCTTTGCCTATACCGGAGTGGAAGTGGGAAGCCATCTCAATGGACTTCATTGTGGGATTGCCGAAGACGAGAAGGCAATTGGATGCAATTTGGGAGATTATGGACAGATTGACAAAGTCAGCTCACTTTGTGGCCATAAAACAAAAAGACCCATTGGATAAGTTGGCCAAGCTTTATGTTCAGAAGATTGTTAGACTCCACAAAGTTCGAGTGAGCATTGCATCAGACAAGGATCTAAGGTTCACTACAAGATTTTGGAGATCTTTTCAAAAAGCCATGGGAACTTAATTGAAATTAAGCACAACATACCACCCAAAAACCGATGGGCAGTTTGAAAGGACTATTCAGGTGCTTGAGGACAGGCTAAGAGCTTGTGCATTAGATTTGCCTGAGAGTTGGGATGATCATCTTCCATTGGCAGAGTTTGTTTATAATAATAGCTATCATTCCAATATCAAGATGGCACCTTATGAAGCTCTTTATGGTAGAAGATGTAGAACTCCAATTTGTTGGGTAAAAGTCGGTTATAGATGACTAATGAGGCCAAATTTTGTGCAGCAAACAATGAAGAAAGTGAGATTGATTCAACAAAGGCTTAAAGTGGCTCAAGATATATAAAGAGTTATGCAAATAATAGAAGAAGATCTCTGGAAATTGGAGTTGGAGATCATGTATTTTTGAAGGTGTCACCAACCAAGGGAATGTACAGGTTTGGTTTAAAAGGAAAGCTTAGTCCAAGATATATTGGCCCGTTTGAGATTCTTGAAAAAGTGGGGGAAGTGGCTTGTAGAATTGCGTTGCCTCCAGAATTGTCAAATGTGCATCATGTATTTCATGTGTCTGTCTTGAGAAAGTATGAGTCGGATCCTTCACAGGTCATTAACTATGAACCATTGGAGTTGAAGGAAGATTTGAGTTATACTGAACAGCTAGTATAGATTTTGGATAGAAAAGAAAAAGTTTTGAGGAACAAGACTGTGCCTTTGGTGAAAGTGTTGTGGCAGTGTTTTAATGAGAATGAAGCTACATGGGAGCTTGAAAGTCAAATGAGGGAGTAGGATCCAAATCTATTTGGTCAGCTAAATGATTTGGTGGGCCAAATCCTTTTAAGGTGGGGAAGATGTAACACCCCATATACCTTAGTGAGTAAATTAAAACTTAGAGTCTTTTAGTTTATAATTTTAGGGATTAAATGATTGGATTTAAAGTTTGGGGGTTTTTAGTAGAACTTAATAGGAGTTGAATGGCCTTAACTCAATTATTCCAATTTTTTTCCACATGGCATTACACCAAGCAAGGATTTTTTCGCTGGTATT